TTGCTGCCTAGAAGCCCCCGAAGGAGAAAGGCACTGGGCATCTCAAACTGGACATGTCCAAAACATAACTCGTTATCCTTCCCGTTAAACCCACCCCTTCTCCAGGTTTTCCTATTTCTGTTTAAGGGCGCTACCATTCCAGGTTCACAGGCTGGAAGTCTTCCTTGACTCTTCCTTCCCCTTTCTGGTTCTATCAATATTGAGTCACTTGTGCCAACATAGCTTAAATCTGCTCCCATTTCTTCATATACACAGCTACTGTGGTTCAGAACCTTACTGAATCTTGTCTGGACTACTGTAACATCCTTCCAATTTCACTCTCAGCTTTCAGTCTGTACTCCACCCAGCTAGCCAGTTAATATTCATAAAACATACATCCAGCTAAACCATTTCCGTCCTCAAAATCTTCAGTGATTTACTATTGCTCTAAGATAAAATACAGAGTTCTCAAGACTGGCTTTTAAAGGCCTCTTCAACTTCATGTTATTCCTTTCACACTGTAATAATTAACAATAGTAATTATAATGTTTTTGTAATAATATGTGTATCAAATGGTTATTTTATATGTTTATATAAATATATAACATTTTTTATACAGTAACTACTGTGTGCTAGGCACTGTACTAAACACTTCAGAAATAATATTCTTTTACTCCTCCCAGTAATTCTGGGAGATAAGTGCTATTATCTCCATTTTACAGTTTAGGAAACTGAGGCAAAGTCTCCATTGAATTAAATTGAAGCTAGGCCTTTCTCTAGTAAAACAGGAAGGTAGCCAATGTTATGTTAAGTGGCTTCTTCATGTTTTCCTGACTTAGTCAGTCCTTTCCCTTGGACCACTCCATGTTATACTTTAGCCAAATTGTTTGACTTACTATATAGCTTTACCTCTCTGGCTTTGCACAGGCTTTCCCTGTTACTGGAAGCCACTCCTTCATCACCCCCACTTAGAATCCCTACCTTCCTTAAAGACTTAACTAAGGTGGGGCAGCTAGATGGTGCAGTGGACAGAACACCCGCCCTGGAGTCAGGAGGACCTCAGTTCAATTCTGGACTCAGATGCTTGACACGTACTAGCTGTGTGACCCTGGGCAAGTCACTTAGTCCCAATTGCCTCACCAAAAAAAAGAAAAAAAAAAGACTTAACTAATGTACCCCTTCTTACTCAAGGTCTCTGGTTAGTGTTGTTTTCCTTGTCAAAATATCTTGTAGTTATTTATCTGCATAAATATTGTAAAGACATCATTCCCAGTAAACTAGAAGCTCCTTGAGGGCAGGAACTGTTTGATTTTTGTGTTTTTTATTCTCAGCAGCTCAGTGCCTTACACATGAATCATATTAAGTATCTGTTGAATTAAATTGAACGTGGGCTCTTCACTAGTCAAACAGAAAGGTAGCTGGTGCTGTGTATAGATCATCAAACTGGAAATCAGGAAACCTGGTTTCTAATCTCTGCTGTGTTCCTATACAGCTGTGTGACTTCACCTTTCAGGGCCTTAATTTTGCAATAGCTTGCTGGTGGGTCTGCCTGCCACAAGTCTCCCCCCACTCCAATTGTCCCTACACTCAGTTGTCAAAGTGATCTTCCTAAGGTGCAGGTCTGACCCTGTCACTACTTGACGCCCCCCCTTACCTCCACTCAGTCAACTCCAGTGATTCTCTCTTACTTCCAGGATCAAATATAAAATCCTGTATTTGGCATTCAAAGCCCTTTGTGACCTGCTGTCTTCCTCTCCAGTCTTCTTGTACCTTACACCCCTCCATGTAGTCCTTAGTTAAATGACAGCGGTCTCCTTGTGGTTCTTCAGACAAAACACTCCACTTCTTGAATGGGCATTTTCAGATTGGCTGTTTCCCTAGCATGGAATGCTGTCCCTTCTTATCTTCACCCCTTGGCTTCCTTCAAACTCTAGCTAAAATTCCTCTTTCTACAGGAAACCTTTCCCAATTGTTCTTAATTTTAATGCCTTCCCTCTGCTGATTATGTTCAATTTATCCTGTATATGATTTGTCTTTACTTAGTTATTTGCCTGTTGTCTGCCTTATTAGTTTGTGGACTTCTTGAGAGCAGCAACTATCTTTTACTTTTTTTTTTTGTATCTCTAATACTTAGCATAGTGCCTAATACATAGTAGGCCCTTAATGTTAGAATAGGTTTCATGGAAAGAGTCCTTTATTATGAGAAATCTGAAAGGGTTGGGTTTTTTTTTCTTTTTGGCTAGGCAGTGGGGTTAAGTGACTTGCCCAGGGTCACACAGCTAGTAAGTGGCAAGTATCTGAGGCCAGATTTGAACTCGGGTCCTCCTGACTCCAGACCCAGTGCTCTATCCACTGGGCCACTGAGCTACCCCTAAATCTGAAAGTTTTAAAGAGATGGAGATATCCTTAAATTCTTTCCCCACCTTCCCCTCCAACTCCTCAGATGAAATTTTCTGTTACAGTAAGAGTGTTGTAGTTAGGCCTATGACTGGCTGGGGAGGTGTCAAGCTGGCCCAGGAGAGCCAAGTTTAAATCCTAACATTACCACTTAATAGTTACTTTACCTCAGGTACATCACCTAATTTTCCCTATCTTCAGTTTTCTCATTTTATATAAAAAAAAAAACCAGATTATAAAACTTGGATTACTTGCCTCACTTGGTTGCCAGGAAAGTGCTTTGCAAAGCTTATAGTGTACTAAATATCTATCAGTCATTTGGAGAGCTAAATCTTCCTGCTGTTACTTGTCTGGGTGTATTGAAGAAAGGCTCATTTCTTCAAAGGGATATCTGCTTTGCCTTACAAGGAGCATCTCTTTGATAGTACACAGCCAGGACAAGGGAGAGAATAACTCAAATTTTTTAGTACTTTTTGAACATTTTCTCATTTGTTCCTCAAAATGAAGCGGTGTAAATATTATTATTCCCTGGTGCACAAGTACGGAGTCTGGGAATCAGAAGATTGTGTGACTTGTTCATGGTCACAGATCCCCAGTGATCTGCTCTATCTCATGGGAAACCAAACCACATCTGTCTGGGACCTCAGCCTTTGGCAGGATCAAAGGTGACCCAAGTCAAGGCCAGAGGGATTGTTAGGTTATTCTGAAAGGCCATGTGGCCACATTTCTCCATGGTGAGAGAATCCTTTTCCCTCTGAACTGCCTCAGTATTTTCAAGTTTCCCATCACTGGAGATTTTCAAGTGAAGGCTTTATGACTACTTATTGGTAATTTTGTAAATATCCCAACAGGGTATGGGTTGGACTAGATGACCTTTGAAGTGCCTTCCAGCTTTTAAGTCTCTGATCCTATACTCCCTCTGTACCTTTAGTACGTGGAGAATAACAAGAATGCTGACAATGATTGGTTTCGACTGGAGTCCAACAAGGAAGGGACCAGGTAGGCATGGCCTCTGGGAGGAGGGGGGGAAGGTACTTGAATGGATAGGATTAGGGGTCTGGTACCCCAAATCTCACATGTAGGGCTGCTTCCCCTTTTCCTCCTCCTTCCCAGTCAACCTAGTGCTTGGTAATGCTTCAAACACAGCTCCCAGGTTTCCATTTACTCCCAGTTCTTGCCCCACAATGGTCTTTCCAGGCCTATAACCCAAGGTAAAGAGTCTGTGTGGTATGGGTGAAAAAGAGGGGAATAGAAATGGGTCTGAAATCTTGGAATTTATTACAGATGGTTTGGAAAATGCTGGTACATCCATGACCTACTTAAGTATGAGTTTGACCTCGAGTTTGATGTGAGTGTGGTGGGATAGAAAATAGGGTGGTGGGGGAAATAGGGGAACCCTCAACATGCAAATTAGTCTCTTGGGCTAAGGAAAACTAAGAGAATGAAGGGATGAAACTGGGATTGAGGAGATAAGGGTACTTTGGGGAAAACATTGCTAACCAACAGCCACCTCCATGGCTGGGGTTGTAGAACCCTGCATGGGGAAGTTCATGACTCTCTTATTCTTCTAGATCCCGATTACATACCCCTCTACTGCACCAGAGATTGCTGTCCCTGAACTGGATGGAAAGACGGCAAAGATGTATAGGTTGGGACTGAATTGGAGATGAGAAAATGTTGGGACAAGGGGAGCTCATGTCAGAGGGGTTTTTAACCTCCCCTTTCCGGAGAATGGGATGGGGATGTTGATTGGCCCTTATCTTGGCTTAATTTGCCAGGCAGGGGAGGGACATTTCTCTCCATTTTCTTTCCTGTTACTGTTATACCGTGTAGTTGGGGAACCTCAAGTCTTCTCACTTTCCTTATCTCTCCTTCAGGGGTGGCAAAATATGCCTAACTGAACACTTCAAACCCTTGTGGGCTAGGAACGTACCAAAGTTTGGGCTGGCTCATCTCATGGCTCTAGGGGTAAGTGTGGTGGTATATGGAGAGATATATCTATAGATACCATATATAAAAATCAATGTCAGGGGAATGGCCAGAGATGGGGTAAGAAAGAGAGTTGAGAGTTACAGAGGGCTGGAAATGTTGCTGGATTTCCTCAAAGAATCTCTCAAGATCGGAATTTCTCTTGAGTCAAAGCATGCTGTGAAATTTCTGTGGATTCCTTATCTTGTAGTTGGGCCCTTGGCTGGCAGTAGAGATCCCAGACCTGATCCAGAAGGGGATGATCTACCATAAAGAGAAGTAATGTCTCTGTCTGAACTTGTAATGTGCTCGGCTCCTGCCTCCTTCAGCCATCACCACCTTCGTTCACCCACCTGATACAAGGGGTCTTCTCTGCCTTATGCCTTGAAGTTGAGTGATTGGGCCGCTGGGTTGCATTGCTACAAATAAGCTTTGCCCCTACTCAGTCTGGCATCACTTGGAGACAGGGCTGAGAGCAGCTGGCAGACATTGGGACCGTGATTCCACCACTTCCCCACTATTTGGAAAGGTGTGAGTATCCTGGAGAAATGCAGCATGAAAATTTGTGTCATCTCCTGTGCTGGAGGCAGTAGCTAAGCCTTCCTTGAATAAAAGCTGCTTTCCCTGGCTTCTGTGTCTCATTCATTTTTGCTTGAGGAAGAGGGAGGGCAGAGGGAAGAGGTGTTAGCAATTTACAACTGGGGAGTGGACTTGAATTGGGCAAGTTGCAGTAGTTGCCTCTGACCTAGAAGATAAAATACAATTTTTTCAGCCTGGCATTTAAAATCCTTCATTCTCCAAAACTACTTTTTCAGTCTTACTTAATACTGCTTCTTTTCTCATATTCTACATTCCAGGCACAATAGACTATTAGCTGCCCAGGATCATTTTGCTTTTTGCCTCCATGTGTGTGTAAGACTTCCCTCATGCCTAAAACGCGTTCCTATCTCTGTTAAAATCCTTCTGTAGAGAAACTTCAAGATTCAATATCTGACAGAGAAAAAGGACCCAAAGGCACAAAAATATAGCTTTTTTGTGGTATCAAACAACTGGAAACGAAGAAAGTGACTGTCAGTTGGGAAATGGCTTGACATATTATGGTATATGTATGTAATGGAATACCATTGTGCTATATAAAGGGGTGGTTTCAGAGAAACCCAGGACATGAAGGAACTGATGGAGAGTGAACAGAATATTGACAACAACATTGTAAATACAACTTTGAAAGACTTAACAACTCTGATCAATACAATGACCAACCAGAGGACTCATGAGTGATGAAGCTTGCTACTTACCTCCTGACCCAGAGGTTATAGACTTAGGTTACAAATTGAAACATTTTTTGGATGTTGCCAGTGTGAGAATTTGTTTCCTTGATTAAGCATAGTTACAAGGGTATTTTTCCTTTTTCCTCAAGGTAGAGGAAGGGGAAGGAAGAGAGGATGGAGATAGTTTTTTGTTACTTGAGAAAAATAAAGCTGAGGCTCAGCTCAGGTGCCATTGTCTTTATAAAGCCTCAGCTTTATAAAGTATCAGCTTCGAATTATAGAAATCATGTAAATCTAATAAGCTTTTACAAGAACAAAATTAGTACTACTACAAAAAAAGGGAAGCTGTCAAATATTCCTGATTAAGGTCATATCTAAAGAGCTAGGCAATACGTACTCATGAGAATGACTTTCTAAATAGACAATCAAAGAACATGAACAAGCAGTTAAAAATACACATTTTATTGATGCCTTTTGTCCTTCTATCACATTTCATCTCCTCCAGTTCAAACCTCCTTTTAGACAAATGCTTAAGCAAAAATAATGATTGCAGCTGATAATGTACACCACGTAATGTCCTAGTAGCCCCCTGCTTTTCTGTGGTGAGAGGGTGGTATGTTTTATTTTGTGCTCCTCTCTGGAACCTTCATTGATTTTTCAATTACTCAGAATGGACAGGCAGAAGAAATACAAACCATTAAAAACCACTTGATAGTGTTCCAAATCACTAAAGAGAAACACCAATTAAACTAAAACTTCATTACATATCATCATACTGGCAAAGATGACAAGTGGTGAAAATGGTAAACAGTCATTGCTGTGGCAATGTAAACACTTCAGTACCTTGTCCAGTACGAGAGTTCTGGAAAGCAAGTTGAAACTATACTAGAAAAGTCAACAGAGTGTAAATACCCTTTGGCCCAGCCATCTCACTGATAGGCATACTACCCTAAGGAGATCAAAGACTGAGGGAAAGATCTTATGGACAAAAAACATTTATAGTGACTCTGGAAAATTGGAGACAAAGCAGATGCCTATCAGGAAAAGACTGAAGAAAATGAAACTTGGGAAGATGTGTATGAAGCAATGCAAATCGTCCAGAACCAAAGGAACAGCTTTCTAGATAACAAGGAAATATTTCTGCTCAATTCTGACTTTGAATGACCGCCCCCCCCCTTCTCAGAGGTGATAGATGCCGAATGAGGCAGGAATATACTTACATGATCAATATGTTGGTTCGCTCTGGGTACCTACACAGGTTTCTATTACAGACCTAGGGGGTCTGGGTTTAAGGCGGGGTGCTGTCAGAAAGGAACCGAGGAATAAAAAGCTTCAGTAAAAATAATTGGCCTAGAACACTCCGAATCTCTCTTCTGCCCCTATGCAACCCTACTTTGCATTTTCCAGTCACTTGCATCTCCGGATTTCCCACCCCCAACAGAACGTTAGCTTCTTGGTCATTTTTCATCACTGCCTCCTGGGGAGAGCAGGATTTTGCACACTGGTGGGAACTTCATAACTGAGTGAATGAGCGGATGCACTTAGACTGTAGGATCGGCCCCTGCTGCACCTCTCAGCAAAGCCCCCTCCAGGCCAGGCTGGGGTTTGCTCAGGTTGGCTAGCTCTGGGTTAGTACCAAGTCAGAGCTGTTACAGCCTTGGAGATGGCAGACTGAATAACATGAGACCTGGGGGAGAAGGCCCGCCCCTTCCTCGTGACTGACAGCTCCCCCTACCCGAGCCTGGCAGCCTGCAGTTCCCTGTCAGTCAGGGAACCTGTGCCCGGTGGCCCATCAGAATGACGCGGGAGAAGACGCATGGCCAAGGCCTTGGAGACCTCCGACTCTGGGCTCAACTACTACAGTTGGTTGCGTTTCCATGGCACCCACCGCGGGACGCAAGGGGCGGGGCGACGCCAGTGCCGCGAAGGAGGCAGTCCGAGCGAATGCTGCGCTGCGCAGGCGCTCTCGTTCCGGGTGAAGCTCGGGCCCGGGCGCCGGGCGGGAGGAACAAAGATGGCGGTGGCGCCTGCGGCGGGAGCGGCCTCGGCGGCGGCAGGGCCAGCAGCCGGGCCCGCGGGGGGGGTTCTCTGGGGCAGGAGGGGGTGGCCCTGAACTGGGGCCCGGGCCCGCCTGGCCCCCTGCCGCCTCGCTGGGGACAGGTACAGGCTGAAGCGCCACGGTGGGTGGGGTGGGGGGGGCGATGCTGTCCTCCCGCCGCTGGAGCACCGTCTGGGGCTGGGGGCACGGACCCGTGTGCCGGCGGCGTCGGGGGAGGGCCGCGTTTGCAGCGGCTGGGCTGGGGGCGGGACGCCGCCGCTGAAGTGGGAGGATGGCCGGCGGCCTGTCCGCGGCGGCCCGGGAGCCTCCTGCACCCGCAGCCAATCAGCGGCGACTACATCCCTGGCCCTGGGCAGAGGCATCTGGGGGGAGGGGAGGCCCTCGCGGGGGAGGGGACGCGGGCCGACCCTGGCCCGGGGCGGAGGTCCAGAAGACAGGGCTGAGCGTGGGGTGGACTCCCCGGGTCTTCCTGCGAGGCTGTGAAGTAGCCTTCTGTTCGCTTTGCAAGGGCCCTGGAACCCAGAGGGGCGCGTCCCCTGTCGGGGGTAGGACCCCAGCTCCCCGCACAGCCTGGGTGCTCGTGGTTGTGTAGCCCTGGGTGCTTAGCCAAGGGTGCCGACTAGAGTGCGGGCAGTGAATGGGGTGAGGAGCTGGAGCTGGAGCGAGGATGCCCAGCCATCCACCCAGCCTCCCGGAGGGAGGCCCAAATGTGGATGGGCACCGCCCCCGAGAGGGGTCCTGGGGCTGACCCTTTCTTCTCCTCCCAGGGCCTGCCCCGGGTCTCCACTATGCCCCAGGCTTCGGAGCACCGACTGGGCCGGGCCCGTGAACAGCCCATCAGTGTCCAGCCCCGGGTGGGAGCCAAGCTACCCATCGGCTCCAGGGCCAGGAGCAAGGAGCGCCGAAGCCCAGCGCCTGCGCCTAACCCCATGCTAAGGCCACTGCCCCCTCGGCCCGGACCCCCTGAGGAAAGGTTCAAGAAGCTGGAGCTGGGGCGGGGGAGAAACTCAGCCCCTCGCTCTAGGGGCCCTCTCCGGGCTGATCATGGAGTGCCCCTGCCCGGCTCACCACCTCCCACTGTGGCACTGCCTCTGCCATCCCGTACTAACCTGGCTCGGTCCAAGTCTGTGAGCAGTGGAGACTTGCGGCCAGTAGGGGCTTTAGGTGGACATCGAGGCTGCGGGGAGCTTGGGGCCGCGCTGAGCCGCCTGACTCTCCGGCCTGAGCCCCCAGTGCTGAGACGCAGCACCTCTCTTCGTCGACTTGGTGGCTTCGCTGGTCCCCCTACCCTGATAACTATTCAGTCAGAGCCCCCTCCCACCCATGGCCCCTTTCTCACGTCTGCTCGGCCCCTGGAGTCTGTCCACCCTGATGACAAGATGGTGAGGACTGTTTTATATAGATCAGTCTCCGAACCTGAGCTCCCTCATACCCCTGGGCTTCTGACGCCATTGGGTTCCCTGTCCTTGCCTCTTTCTCAGTCTCTTCCCCACCCCTTCATCATTCTTCTTGTCATATGTAGGCAGTGCTAACTAGTATAGCCCCCTTCTATTCTCCCTTTCCCTTCCTGGGCTCTTGAGACCCTTTTCTGGGACACCAGAGGCCCTTCAGAATCTCCTACCATATGGTCCTGCATCAGCCCCTGGGGATTCAGTTTAGTTATTTGGGATTCTACTTTAAGTCTCTATGCCCTTCATTCCCCAGTGACCTCCCCTCTCCACCCCCCCCCCATCTCTTGGTTTGTGGCTAATTAATCTCTGGGGCTAAGTAAGGTGGGGCTAGGAATATCTGAGGGAGCATGGGATAGCTGAGTAAGCTATTGCTGTGCTAGCTGAACTAAGCATAGTTGGGGCCAGCGAGGGAGGCTGCCACGGGGGCAGGAGGGGGTCACAGGGGCAGGAGGGTAGAGGCTGGGGGCAATTGGGGAGTCATGCCAGTGCTAGAGGAACTGCCCCGGGAACTGCAGCGCCGACTGGCTGGGCAGAACCGGAATGGGCTAGGAGGTGGGACAGCAATGGCAGAGTCAGTGATGCACACAGCTGTGCTGGGGATACTACTCATGGCCAGTGAGGTAGGGGACAAAGGGATCTGTGGAGGGATTGAGTGTAAGTCAGAGGATAGGAAAAAGGGACCCAGAAAGTCAGCTCTCTTGGAAGGGGAAGACACAGGTTGGGGATTTTGTTGTGGTGTCTGGGAGCCCTCAGCTTATCATTGTTCCCTTTTCCTAGGCTCATCACACACTGCTCTTGGGGTCTGGCCACGTTGGTCTCCGGAACCTGGGTAATACGGTAAGTGCCCTTCAATCCCTGGCAACAAGAAAAAGGGGAGGGAACTGACAAAATTGATGACTTGAGATGAGGCAGAGCAGTGTCCTTGCCCTTTCTGGAGGTGGGCCTGAATGGAGAACTTGGTGTGTTCCACAGTGCTTCCTGAATGCCGTGTTACAGTGTCTAAGCAGCACAAGGCCACTTCGGGACTTTTGTCTTCGGAGAGACTTTCGGCAAGAGGTTCCTGGTGGAGGCCGGGCCCATCAAGAACTTACTGAAGGTAGGGGAACATACCCTGATTCATTCCTCGTAGCCTCATTGTTTTCCTTATTAATAGCATGTAGTAATATACTTTATATTATTATTTTATATGTGATTAATGTAATTAGCATTTTGTATTTGTGTGATGCTTAACAGTTTTTCAAATTTTGTTCACATCTGTTAATCTCATTTGATTCTCACAATATTCCTGTGAGGTAGGTAGAGCAGGTATTATCCCCATTTTACAGATGAGGAAACTGAGGCTCAAAGAGATTAAATGACTTTCCCAAGATTACCCAGCTAGTAAGTGGCTGAACCAGCATTAGAATATAGGTCTTATCATTCCTAGTCCAGTGGTCCCTTTGCTCATTCCACCCAAATTCTCCAACTTTTGAAAACTACCCTTGATACCACTGCCACCTCCATCAACAAATACATCTGATATAAATGTATCTGCCCTCTCCATAATGTCCACTAATCCCAAAGAGACAACTTCTTTCCTCCAGTGCCCCTTTTCCACCTCCCTCTTCAATGGTTCACCTTTGTCCATCATCCCATAACAGCCTTTGCAGATGTGCTGGGAGCTCTGTGGCACCCTGACTCCTGTGAAGCTGTGAACCCTACACGTTTCCGCACTGTCTTCCAGAAATACGTCCCTTCCTTCTCCGGATACAGGTGGGGGTCTTGTAGGAGGAAGAACTTCCCTCTGGCCAGGTTGGTGAGGGGTAGGGGTGGGACAGGGCAGGGCAACCCTAAGCAGAGGTAAGAGGAGGATTCTTAAAATGTCACTCATGAAACTATAGATAACCCTTATTCTGGTGTGGGATGCTGTCTGGGAAAGGGGGACAGGGAGGATAGAGTCAGTGTCCACCAGTCACTGTTTGGCTGTAGCCAGCAGGATGCCCAGGAGTTCCTGAAGCTCCTCATGGAGCGGCTACATCTAGAGATCAACCGGAGGGGCCGCCGTGCCCCACCCATCTTGGCTGATACCCCAGCCCCCTCTCTACCCCGGCGAGGGGGGGCCCTCCTTGAAGAGCCTGAGCTAAGGTAAGGGGAGAGCCTTCTTTCTTATCCTGATCCCCCTTCCTTATTTGCAAATCTATTAGTTTATCCATATTTTCTGTATATAAGCTCATTAGGCTTAGGAATGCAGGGTTCGAAGTGACCCTTTCTCAAGGGGGGAGAAGGCAGGGATGCAGCAATGATTTGGAAAGAAGGGAGCAGGGATAGAATGAAGTGGGGAGAAGGTGAATGTTGCAGAAAGGGATTGAGGGGGAATAGGGAGTTGGCCTAGCTGAAGCTTTTAGGGAAAGGGAGCAGACTTAGCATGGTGGAAGGGGCAGAAGAGGACTCCCACACATGAGAAGTGGGGTAGAAGAAATGAGACACAGAAGAAAAGCCTTCTCTTTCTCTCTTTGTGTGTTCATGTCTTTATCTTTGTTTCATCTTCCTTGACCTATGAGACGTTCCGTAATGCCCTTACCTCCTACAAGGTTAGTGAAGAAGCAAGGAGGGAGAAAAGAGCACAAGGCTCACTTGGGGGCACTTAAGAATGGGGCCTTTTCTAGTGAGAGAGAGGGCAGCCTGAGGCTGGTACCCTGTCTTCCTGGGGCCTCAGGACTGTTTTCCATGCTCTGTGACAGTGATGATGAGCGAGCCAATCTAATGTGGAAACGATACTTGGATCGAGAGGACAGCAAAATCGTGGGTATGAAGGCAGTGTGAATGGAAAAACGTAGTAGGGATGAGGTAGAGAAATGGGGAAGTGGGACTGGGAAGACTGAAATATACTATAGAAGGGAGGAATATATGGGCAGTATAAAAAGCTGGGGGGGGGGTGAATATTAGCAATAGAAATGGGAACAGGGCATTTTGTACAGGTGGGACAGAGCTTCGGGGCTAAAACTCATCTTCCTGACACCTTTTGTTTTCTAGACCTGTTTGTTGGCCAGTTGAAAAGTTGCCTCAAGTGCCAGGCCTGTGGGTATCGCTCCACGACCTTTGAGGTTTTTTGTGACCTGTCCTTGCCTATCCCTAAGGTGAGGGTTTAGGGGGATTTAAGGGTCTGTGAGCTAATGGAGCCTATTCCCAGCCTGCCATCTTGGGTTTTCATTGTTTTTTTTTTCCTATCATCTGTGTTAGTGATGAGTAAATGTCTATCTGTCTTTGCAACTGTAGCACTGTGCACTTTCAACTATATATCCTTGGACCTTACTAAACTTATTCCTCTAAGTTTGGGAGTGAGGGGGTTGACCCCCTAGGGGAGGGTACCTGAAGGGGAATCCTGGGTCAAATTGAAGTTATAAGGATACCATTTCCCTTTTTCTCCAGAAAGGGTTTGCTGGAGGGAAGGTGTCTCTTCGGGATTGTTTCAGCCTCTTCACTAAGGAGGAAGAACTGGAGTCAGAAAATGCCCCGGTATGCACCAGTGGGGGAGGGGAGACAGAGCCGTAGCATGGAAGACTTAAGAGTTACCACACACAGTGAGAGGGGAATTGGAAGATGCTTCACTTGTTGCCCCAATATTCATGATGGGGGGGGAAGGGGGGTTAATCATAAGTGCCTCTGTTCAGGTGGGCATGAGGGACAGATTGTAGGATACCAAGTGAATGGAGGGCACAGACAACTTGAACATGTTTAGGATGTGGGACGTGTTACCTTCATTTGCCATGCAGGTGTGTGACAGATGTCGGCAGAGAACACGGAGCACCAAAAAGCTGACTGTGCAGAGGTTCCCCCGGATCCTTGTGCTCCGTATCCTGCTCTTGGGATGGCCTCTCCAAGTCTCCCCTCACCCTCACGTACTGCTCATCTGTTAGTGCTTCTATAGGCACGCTCTCCTCAAGCTCTTCATACTCTTTGAGGTTGAAGAGATTGCCCTAAGAGAAGTAGGGTGTGAAGTGGGTCTGGTCTTCCTTGGGGTGGGGGCAGTGCATGATATCTATCTCTCCAGCTGCTCTTCATGGAGAGTCAGTAGCTTTAGTCTGCCAACATCCCACCTTGTTTCCCTTCACTCCATGTTCCTTAACTGGGGCCTAGACCTGAATCGGTTTTCTGCATCTCGAGGCTCTATTAAAAAAAGTTCTGTTGGAGTTGACTTCCCCCTGCAGCGACTGAGCCTAGGGGACTTTGCCAGTGATAAAGCTGGTAAGTCTGGTTGGGTGGCTCCCTTGGGAGGTGGAGGAGGAATACCAGGGGACTCTGGTGCCCAGGGGAGGCAGTCCTGGGGGAAGGACTTAAATAGCTTTAACTCTACAGGGAGTCCTGTGTACCAGCTGTATGCCCTTTGCAACCACTCCGGCAGTGTCCACTATGGTCACTACACAGCCCTATGCCGGGGCCAGACTGGTTGGCATGTCTACAATGACTCTCGGTGAGGACAACTACCTTCTCTCATTCTTATCTCAGAATTTTCTCAACACCTGCTTCTGACACTCAAATCCAGAACAGGAGCCAGTATGGGGAAGGGAGGAAAAGGGGAGGAGGGTATGTGTTTTAGGTGGCTGGGATTCTTCTGCCCTCTCCTGGGCCCTGGGGAACTTGGAGGTGACCACATCACCAACCACCTCCCTGGTCCTGTTCCCCATTCTCCAGTGTCTCCCCTGTCAGTGAAAACCAGGTGGCCTCCAGTGAGGGCTACGTGCTGTTCTACCAGTTGATGCAGGAGCCAGTGAGGTGCCTGTGATAAACTCCAAGTCCCGGGACCTGTGAAGCCCTCTTGATGCCCATTAATCCCAGACCTCCCATTTACCTCAGAGACGTCTATTTTTGTGTCTTTTTAATCTGGGAGGGGCTGTCTCCCCTGTATTTTTTTTATTAAAACAAAAACAACCCCTTAACACCTGGAGGCTTCCCCGGCCTCCCAGACCCGTGTACAGAGCTGCCCAACCTCTTGCCCATGTACAGCCCCCATTCCCACTGCAGTCTCACTTTTTGTGAATAAATTTAATAGGAAAAAAAAAGAGCAAAGTGTCTGTTTATAGTCAAGACCTCGGGGAAAGGCCCCTCTCCTGGATTCCTGCAGCCCCAACGGGAGCCTTCGTCCTTCTCCAGTGACCGCCTGGGGGCCCGCGGAGCCCTGGGGGGCAGGGAGGAGGGTCGGAGGCCGGGACTCGGGTTCAGGGACGACGCGCCTCCTCGCGAAGCTTGGGGGCCCCACAGGCCCCCTCCGTGTTGACAAACACCCGCTGCGTTGCCGGGCGCCCTCGGCTCCCGCAGGCCTCGCTTGTTGCTAACATCAGCCTGCTGTTTATGGAGCTCTCTCCCCACGGTCCCGGCCTCCGGCGGCCCCAGTTCCTCCACCACGCGCTCCGTCCCTGGGGACCGTGCCCGGCCCCGTTCTCCCGCCGTGCCAGGGGCCCCCAGCTCTCCCTGGCTACCTTCTTGACCCGCAGCCCGAGTGCGGCTGGGCACGGACGGGTTAAAAAAACACGCCGGCAGTTGGCCCCGCCCCCTACGGAAGCGGCCCGGGGACTCGGCGTCTTTATTGGTACAGCCTACGGAGGGGTTTCTGGCCCCGCCAATCCGAACCCACGAAAGTACCGCGGCCCGGAGCGAGTCTCCCGAGAGTAAGTGGACGGCGAGCCAGAAGGGACTGCCGGGGTCCTGCGGGACAGGGAGGCCTGGCCACTGACTGAGGTCTCTCGGCCATGGGAGGAGGTCTGGGCCCGCCCTCCTGGGGCCTGAGTCTCCGCTCCGGCCTCCCTGGATCCTGCAGGGTCAGATAGCGCGGGGCGCGGCCCTTATCTGCTCTCCCGGCCAGCGGCTTGGGGGCGGGGTCGCCGGAACCCGGCGACCCCCCATTTTCCATCTCCCCCTGCCGTTGCTCATTCTGGCTCCCGGCTTCTCCAGGTGAGTCTTGGATTGCGGGGTCCCAGGGGTGGGCCCAGCCCAGTGGGGCCCCCGTGGGAAAGAGTTGGGCGTCCGCTGCCGGCCGGACGGACCCAAGTGCCCCGGGGGCGGGGGGCAGCGGAGCCCCCTGTGCAGCGGCCGCCTCCTTTTCCTTCCTCAGGCCTCCTGATGCCCGGGACCGTGGCCGTACTGGGCGGCGGCATCAGCGGCTTGGCCGCCTGTTACCACTTGAGCCGGGCCCCTTGGCCTCCCAAGGTGAGTGCCCTGCCCTGGCCCGTCTTTTTCCGATCCCCCACCCCGTTCTTTCGAAAAACGAAAGCTTGGGGTCCTCAGCCCCCGCCAGTGAACCCCAACTTTGACCTCAGTGGGTCTTGCACCCCGGGGCGAGCAGCCCATGAGTGGGGAGCCGAGTCTCGTGGCCGTGGGCCTCTCCCACCCTTCTCCCCCAGGTGATCTTGATCGAAGCCAGCCAACGCCTCGGGGGCTGGATTCGGTCAGTCCGAGGGAAGGATGGAGCTGTCTTTGAACTTGGACCCCGAGGAATTCGTCCGGCCGGAGAGTTAGGAGCGAGGACCTTGCTCATGGTGAGGGGGCCTGAACCGTGGGAGGGGGAGAAGGGTTTTCCTGCGTGGTCGAGTGAAAGAAAGATCACCTTTAAGACGACCCCCAGCCCACGCTATACCCCCGGCTCAGTCTCTTCCTTTAATTTTTCTTATTCCTGGGTGGGTGGGGTTTGTTGAGGGCAGGTGTCAGAGCTTGGCTTGGACTCTGCGATTTTGCCGGTTCCCGGCAGCCGTCCTGCTGCACAAAACCGCTTCCTGTATGTCGGGGGAACCTTGCACCCTCTGCCAACTGGCCTCAGGTAGGTTTTACCTTACCTTAAATACCTTAGTTCTGGCCCTTCTATTGACAAACTGTGCTTTTGCCCACTCTGCCACCCTCTGCACCCACCCACCCTCATTTCCTGTTTCAAGGATGCTTCTTTAGCCTCAAATTCCTTGATTTCTCTTATATCAGTTCTCCTGGTTATAGCAAACCCTTGGTAATAATACTCTGGGGTCGAGGAGCCTTTCCAGCTGACCCTTCCTCATCTTGGACTCTTTCTTCCCTTTGAATATAGGGGACTATTCCTTCCAGCCCCACCTTTCACCAAGCCCCTGTTCTGGGCTGGGCTTAGGGAACTGACTGCTCCTCGGAGCATGGAACCTGATGAGACTGTGTACAGTTTTGCAGAGAGGCGCCTGGGACCAGAGGTAAGTCCACTATAGAGCTCCCTTAAATTCTCTTTTCTTTTTTTTATTAATTTATTTTGATATATCAACAATCACTTCCATATGCTTTTGAGTTTAAAATTTTTCTCCCCCTTCCTCCCCACCACCCTCCCCAAGACAGCGCACAATCTAGTATAGGCTCTACATATGCATTCCTATTAAACATATTTTCACATTAGTGATGTTGTAAGAATTAGAACCAATAGGAGGGACCACCAGAAAGAGGAAACAAAACTCAACAGAAGAGGAAAAAAAAATAGCAAATAGTATGCTTCGATCTGCATTCAAATTCCATAATTTTTTCTTTGGATGTGGATAGCATTTTCCATCACGAGGCCTTTGGAGATGTCTTAGATCCTTGTATTGCTGGGAAGGATTAAGTTTATCACTATTAGTCATCACACAACATGGTTGTTATTGTGTACAACGTTCTCTTGGTTCTGCTCACTTCACTCAGCATCAGACCATACAAGTCTTTCCAGGTTTTTCTGAAGTCAGCCTGTGCATCATTTCTTATGGAACAACAGTATTCCATTACATTCATATACCACAACGTGTTCAGCCATTCCCCAATTGATGGGCATCATCTCAATTTCCAATTCTTTGCCACCACACAAAAAGCTGCTATATATATTTTTGTATATGTAGGTCCTTTTCCCATTTGTATGATCTCTTTGGGATACAGACCTAGAAGTGCTATTGCTAGGTCAAAGGGTATGCACATTTTTATAGCCCTTTGGGCATAGTTAATTGCTCTCCAAAATGGTTGGATCATTTCACAATTCTACCAATGATGCATTAGTATTCCAATTTTCCCACATCTTCTCCATCATTTATCATTTTCTTTTTTTGTCATGTTGGCCAATCTGATAGGTGTGATGTGGTACTAAATTCTCTTTTCAAAACCCGATAGCAGGACACCATCCCCACCATCTTGCACCCAGGTTCACCATTGACATCCTTTGGGAACATTTCCCACACTGCTCACCTTCACTGCACATCTTTCCCATGGGGCACCAAAATCTCAAACTTTCCCAGCCCTTCTCCATTCGGGAAGAAAGCTGTCATTGAGAAAGGCAAGGATGCAAAGTCTGGGAGAACCAAAGGCCTGACATCTTTTCCGTTTCTGTCTTTTTCTGAAGGTGGCTTCCATCGCTATGGACAGTCTTTGTCGAGGAGTATTTGCAGGAGACAGTAGAGTTCTCAGTATCCGCTCCTGTTTTCCCAGTCTCTTTCGGGCTGAACAGACTCATCGATCTATTCTGCTGGGGTTGCTGCTGGGTGCAGGTAAGGAAGGGCAGCTCTGAGGGGGGATGATTGGTGGATGTAGAGAAAAACTGACATCTATTCCCTAACTCCTCTAGGACAGAGCCCCCAGCTAGATTCACCTCTGATTAGTCAGGCTAGAGCTGAGCGTTGGAGCCAGTGGTCTCTTCGGGGAGGGCTGGAGACACTGCCCCAGGCCTTGGGCACCCACCTGATTCATCAAGGAGTCACTGTTCTAACGGGTCAGGCAGTTTGTGGACTCAATTTCCAGTCCGGTCGATGGCAGGTAAAAATGGTTCTGGAGATAACCTGCCCCTCAGGGCTGTCTGGCCGTATCTTTTTCTGATTGGGTTTGCCTCTGCTGTTTAGTGGACTAAGTAGTAGGATAAAGAATACTGTGTCCCTACTGACCTCAACTGAGCTATCTCTTTCCCTGATCCCTAAACTATGAATACCTACTAAGCTGACTGCCCAACACTGATGTACTCTAGGATGGAAGGGGTGCTTGTGACAACATCAGGCACTCCCATTTTCCACCAGGAGTTTTGGTAAGGGGTATCCATTCTCTTTGCAATGCAGGTATATGACTGAAAATGAAAACATGATGTTTGTGAGGGAAGATGAATGTGTAGGAAGGACATTGCCACAGTGTACAGGCCTTTCTCCGCCCCCCCAGAATTTGAGTTATACCTCTGATCCATTTCCATCTGTTTCCCCATCTCTTGTCTCTCTCAGGTGTCTCTGGGAGATAGCAGCCTGGAGGCTGATCACATCATTAGTGCTGTCCCCGCTGCAGGTAGTGGGGTGAGAGGGTGCTCCCCCTGGGTGGTGGTGGGGCAGCATTCTCCACTTTCTCTGGGGGTGGGATTGAGCAGTAAGCTTTTTGTTATCTCACCTTTTATCTTTCCCTGCAGGGACTGGTTGCCAGGAGTCCTTCCCTAGAGGAAGGTGCCAAATGACCATGTCTCTCTCCCTCCAGTATTAAGTGAATTACTTCCCTCTGAGGCAGCACCTCTGGCCCAGGCCCTGGCTCCTATTCGTGCTGTATCTGTGGCTGTGGTGAATCTGCAGTATCAGGGGGTTCATCTGCCTGTCCAGGTAAAAGGGAACAGAGGAGGGACTTTGGAATAAGAAAACATGGGCATGTCTGAGACTCTACCTCACTGACATAACTTGCCCCTCCCCCAGGGTTTTGGACACCTGGTGCCATCTTCTGAAGATCCTGGTGTCCTGGGAATTGTATATGATTCTGTTGCCTTCCCTGAACAGGATGGGAGCCCTTCCAGTGTTAGAGTAACGGTGAGAAAGTGTCCTTACTGGGGGCTATCAGGCAGCAAAAGGTGTCAGATGTGAACTAATCTCCACCTCTGCTGCTTACTTGGCTGTGGTTAATTCAGTTCAGACTTGACATCTATAAAGAGGGAATGATTTTTTAAGAACAAACCAAAAACTTACCCAAAGTCATGACCTGGTATCATCCCTTCTGTGGTTAAAGAGATCTTATTATGTTGGAGAATGGGGGAGAAAGGCTGCTTGATGTTATTTCTGATGCTAGGTGATGCTGGGGGGAGCTTGGCTGCAAGCACTGGAGGATGGGGGGCAGAAGTTACCTGAGGAACTATTCCAACAACAAGCCCAGGAAGCAGCTGCCACACAGTTGGGGCTAAAAACGCCACCAACTCAAAGCCTGGTTAGCCTACATAAGGTAAGTTAGGGGAGAGGGATAAAGGGGAGAGGGCTAGGAAGCCACCCCTAACCTCTTGATCTTCTCTTTTCAGAGCTGCATTCCCCAGTATACCTTAGGCCACTGGCAGAGACTAGGTAAGTTGTGGGCAGAGGGGGAGACACACAGTGATAAAGGGTCAAGAAGTAAAAATTCAACTGTGGTATTTCCCAAATCTTTTCCAGAGGCAGCTGCCCAATTTCTAGCCGACCATCAACTGCCTCTGACTCTAGCTGGAGCATCTTACGAAGGTGTTTCAGTCAATGACTGCATTGAGAGTGGGCGACGGGCTGCAGCTCGTGTCTTGAGCACTGATCCTGACCTTTGACCTACAGCCTTTTTTCTTATCCCTGCAGGCCAGGGGCTCCAGTCAAGACTAATAAAATTGCTCTAATTGGACAGTAGCTGCTTGTTTTTCCTTTGCTGAGCTTCCCGTCCCTGCCAAAGAGAGGCCAGGCCTTTGGGAAAGACAGGTCCAAAGCCTAGGTAAATGAGTTAGAGAAGATAGGAGCAAAGGACAGACACGACAGAGTCCTTTATTAGAAAATATATAAAAATCCCAGGGTTCCCAGACAGACCTTGTGGGGAGAGACACCCCAGAAGAGAATCCCGAAGGGGAAGGATCATGCCCTCCCCAAATGACACATTCCCCCAGGGGCCATAAATAAAATAAATATTCACAGGGGCCCAGGGAGGAGGGTCATACCTGAGCCCTCTTTTGGGGGTGGGAGGGTAAGGAGGGAGTAGGAGAACCCTAGGGCCCAAACCTACTCCTACCCTAGTGGCAGGGTACTCCCACAGAGGTGGAGAGTCAGTGTTATGTATAACACATCCAGGAATCACAGTCATGTGCCCTATCTTGGGGGACTCAAAAGTAGGGTCCTCCAGGGCTGTAGGAGCCCAGCTCCAGCACAGCAGAGGAACCCCCTTAGGCAGCAGTGAAAGGGGACCAGGAGAGGACACATTCCCTCTAATCTCAAATGAGAAGAGGGGTTGTCAGTGGGAACCAGTGTGGTTGGCAGGAGGCAGAGGACCAGGCCGTGGTGGGGGCCGGCGCTGTAGCATTTCATGACGAAAGGCCTGAGAGGAACCAGGTGGGAATTTGGGACCTGAGGGAGGCCGGGGGCCACGGGGATCAACCCCAATGTCTGCTGTAATATTGGTATAAAGTGGGCCCAATTCTCGAGCCAGTAGTCGGTATGTCAGTGAGTTCATTCCATCCTGTGTCCATGAACGTTGTGTCCGGATCAAGAGGTCAAACCTGGGGATCAGAATTTAAGAGCTAAGATACCTGAAGGATAACGGGAAAGAAAGTACCAAGCTGGAACTTCTTCAAACCTCTCTAACCCTCAGCCCCTACCTGTGAGGGTTTTCTTCATTTCCCTTATCTCCTCGGTGTTTCACCATCTTGTAGTGTCCCACAGAGATGGGTGGTCGAGAGATCTTCATCCCAGCTAAACGAACCCTGGTGGAGAACATGGTATTAGGAGGGTGCAGAGCTGCCAACCTATACTGTTGCTCAGTCTTTTTTTTCAGTCTTGTCTGACTCGATGACCCTATTTGGGATTTTCTTGACAGATACTGGCATTTCCTTCTCCAACTCATTTTACAGATGAAGAAACTAAGGCAAACAGGGTTAAGTGACTTGCCCAGGGTCACATAACTAGTAAGTGTCTGAGGCTGGGTTTGAGCTCAGGTTTTCCTGACTTCAGGCCTGGCACTCTATCTATGGCATCACTCGCTGCCTTGTCAGTTTATATAGGTCTGGGAATAGGGAGAAGAGACATCTGGGAATGGGAGAGCAGGCCAAGGAAAAGAAATGCTTATAACAGGTAACTGAAACTATTAAGTATTTCAGAGTTTCTGTTTATCCTTATCAAAAAGATAAACCTATGATCACGACCAGAAAACTAGAAAAAGGAATATGTGTTCTGAATGAATAAGAGGGAAGAAAACGATTGAAGCTCCACAGAAGCTAAGGTACTCCATGGGACTGGCAGGTATTACTGCTCAACCTCTTGCCCTCATTTCTAAAAGTCTCTCAGAAACCAGAAGTTGCCCTTGATGCCTGAAAAATGGCAGCTGGGAATACTGGGCTGGAAAAGAAAGGCAAAAGCCCAGGAACTAAAGAACCAATCAGAGGGCCTAAATTTTGGCACAGGTTGGAGCTATGAGGCACGTCCTGACTGTTGACCCAGATAAGGGAACTCCTTCAAGTTCAAGAGTAGAGCAAGGGTGACTAGTTAATAAAACAGTGACAGAATTCTGAACTCTGATCTTTGTCAACTGTTTGACAGGTGGCAGGGAGAAGGAGAAATCAATCCAGGGCAAGGAGCACATAATCACTAATACTCTCAAACTACATGTGACAAGGGAATAGATGACAGCAAAAGTGATGTGATTTTTAAAACAGGCAGTACGGTCTCTTTCTAAATAAACTGTAAAACCTTTTAAATAAAAAGACCCCTTTAGAATGTCCATCTTTGGAGTTTTCCAAACAGCTTATTTTAGCAAAAGGCAAGAGGGCTAGACTAAATGACCTTGAGGGTCCCTCTCTAACTCTAGAAGGATGTGGTTCAAAGCCAGCCAGAACTGGGGACACAAGGAGCAGAAAAAGGTGGTGAAGAAGCACAGTGGGAGTCACAGGGAATGAAGTGGGGGAGAGGTGACAGTCTAGGTAGGGGGGCAGCTAGGTGGAACAGCGGGATAGAGCACTGGGCCTGGAGTCAGGAGGACCTGAGTTCAAATCCAGCCTCAGACACATAACACTCACTAGCTGTATGACTCTGGGAAAGTCACTTAACCTCAACTGCCTTACCAAAAACAAAAAAAAAGAGTCTAGGTGGACTAGAAGCAAGCCAAGGGGGGTGGTGGTGGTGGGGGGTGATGGTGGTCTTAGGGATGTCCAGCGGTCACAGCCAATCTGACCTGGTGGCAATATCGTCATCTTCTCCGCCCCAACCCCAATACTCATTGGGGAAGCCATTCATCTTCAGGTACTGATCTGGAGTAAGAGCTGAGACCCCCCCAAAGTATTGGGGGTATGGGAGGCTAGAAGAAAGCACAGACACTCATAAAGCACTAAGGGAAAACATCTTTTGTCCAACCAAATCTATTTTTCTCTTCCCCTGGGTCCCTACCCCAATCCACAGCACTTCTAGACCCCCTCCCCTCCAACTCCCCAGTCATCATTAAAACACATACCTATATCCAAACTTGTTCATGGCAACAGCAACGTGTCTGGGCCCCCCAGGGTCACAGACATAAAGATTGTGATCATTTTCAGGAAGCAAGTCCACATCATGCAGAAACAGGCAATCCCACTCTTCATCACGAAGGGCCTCCCGAACCCCTACATTCAGCAGCTTTGCCCTGTTAAATGTTCCATTTCCAGCCTGAGAAACAATGGAAAGGCCTCATTGGGAATGGTTTTGAAGGGAGTGAAAATAGAACAAAGAAGGGCAATGAAAGGATATAATTACCCTGGGAAGGGTGATAAATGAAATGGGCCAGTAGTGGACATTGAGAAGCATTGTTTTATTCTCCCCTCTGGGAGTTTTATCTGATTAAATTTCATTGCCCTAATATAAAGCAGAACTAGGCGTACTGTATACATACTGACTACAATTTGGTAAAAAAAAGAAGTACTGGCACACACCACACATTGTTATTTGTTCAGTTATTTTTCAGTCATGTCTAACTTGTGACCTCATCTGGGGTTTTCTTGGCAAAGATATTGGAATGCTTTGCCATTTCCTTCTGCAGCTCATTTTATAGATGTGAAAATTGAGGCAAATAGGGTTAAATGACTTACCCAGGGTCACACAGCTGGAAAGTGTCTGAGGCCAGATCTGAACTCAAGATCGAGTCTTTCCTGACTTCAGACCTGGCACTGTGCCACCTAGCTGCCCCCAGCTGGCTGATACTATTTGACAGTGTAGGGAACTCACACTACCAAAGCAGATAAACAACTATTTGTCAGTTTAGAGTTTCAGAAAGTTTCTTGGGGGTCCTAAGAGGTTAAGAGATGTTCAAAGGGTCACCCAGTCACTGATGTATCAGAAATATTATCAAGGCATGGTCTCTATCCACTACATGACACTGCCTCTCAAATAAACACACAAGTAAAAGTAAATGCAAAACAGAAATAAAGCTGTGATGTCCTATTAAATGTTGCCTATATCAAGTATGGGGGAGGGTACCTGGTGGATGACATAGATGCCATAGGCAAGCTGCTGACGTTGCAGAAAAGGATGCAAGTGGTAGAGTAGCAGACGGAGATGGGGCTCCCGAGCCCGATGTGGCACAATGATGGCGGTTCGAGATCGAGGCTCACAGTCCCCTGGATGGTAACGGCCCCCTAGCTCTACTCGAGGGTTTCTCTCCAAAATCTGTGCCATTGATGGCACGGGGCTAAAGGACACTGACACAGGACCCACTGTTGGGAGAGGCATAGTAAGGTCAGGGAAGCTGACACCTCATCTGGCTTCGGGCCTAAAATTCCAGAAAGGTTCTGGAATCTCTGGCACCTGGAGAATCTTACAAACAGGACAGACAACCATCAAGCTGAGTTTGGCTCTTGAACCTAGAAGCTTCTTCTAATTTCTGATTTCCTCACTTACAAAATTCTCCTCTCTGACCAAAGGTACAGCTGGTCGTGAGAGCAAGTATGAAAGCAAATATGTTACTGGACAAATACTGAGACCTACAGACTCAGGATTACCTATGAAGGGAAAACTTTTTAGGTCTGGGGACATGGTAAACCCAAGAGGTGAGAAAGAGCAGGAAATGGAACACAATGAGTTCAACTAGTACTAAATTCCCATGCCACCCTCAGATCTCCTATTGGACCTCATCTTTATAGGTCATGCCCCCAGAGCCATTTCTCCATGCTAGTCAAACATGCTTCCTCCCCACTCCACAGTGCCCTTTGCCCTACTCTGTGCCTTCTTCCCTCTCAGCTCACCTAGGAGGGGAGAGCGCTCAGGGCAGTAGGGCAAAGCCTCTGGAGCCGCAGGAGCCCCTGGGGCAGGAGGGGCACCAGGCAGGCGGCTGAGGTTGGTATAGACATCATGGGGTCGTGAATAATCGAAGGTGGGGCCTGGGTCTCGACCAAACAGGGCACCAAGGCTACGGAAACCACCAAGGGACAGGTACATCATGACAGCCAGCTGGGAGCCCACAAGCAAGGCCAGTGTGCAAGGCCGATCTAGAATCCGACGAAACATCCTGGAGTGTGACTAGAAATGAGCAGAAAGAGATGGAGTCTGAGAAGAGGTAAAGAGGTGCAAAGGCAGGGGAAACTGTGGGAAACCAGGTGGGTCAAGGTGAAAATAACAGAGACAAAGTCAGCATCTGGGGGACAAGAAGCAGAGAAACAGGCTCAGGACAGAAAGTAAGAGGACACAGCAGGCAGAAAGAGGTGGTCAGAATAACAGGAATGGGAGCTAAAGTGAGTAGGGAAAACCCAAGTAAGGACAGAACCAGACCTCCATCCCTACTGAGTATGTCATAAAGTCAATTCCAGACAACTTAAGAGAGAAGTCACTGACATTCTGATGGAGAGGAAAGGACTCACCTGGACTCAGGCTGTCGCTTGAAGGGAAGTAGGGGGTCCAGGGGGCTCTGGAGGGGTAGGTCTGTGAGGCATCATCTAAAGTTGGGAATGTTGGAAAGAGGAGAAAGGAAAGTTCTCTCCATTTGTAGAGAGACAGTTTGGTGTCCTAAAATAAACAATGGACTTGGAGTTAGACCCGACTTCAAATCCAAGCTCAGATGCTTACTACCTGTATGACCCTGAGCTAAGTAAAGTCACTTCACTTAGAACCTCAGTTTCCTGACTTGTAATATGGGAATAATAATACTGATCCTACCTATTTCACAGAGTAGTTGTGCAGAAGCCTGAAAGTACTATATAAATGTGAACTATTATTAACATTACGATCCCAAGGGACAACCAGATTCTGCTCAGGAAAAGAAAAAACACAGGTCTTTAGCTTCCTTTAGGATTAAGGAAATAAGATTCTCAGAGCGGGGAGGGAGGGAAGATACTGGACTGGGAGCCACTTCATGTAGTTAAGAGAAGCCTATTTTCCAGGAGGTGAATGTAGCTAAAGGTAGATTGGAGGGGAGGGGATCAAGGAGAGATCCTAGATGCCTTAGGGAATTTGAGTCGGGGTTGCCCTAGAAGCCAAATCTCAGCCTTTAGGTTGGGACCTACAGAAGAGCTCACAAATACCTTCCCGCCCCCATCCCCAACAGAACACCAGTTTTGGAACCGAGGACTTGGGGTGCCCATTTGATGAACTTATGCCCTTAGGGAAAGTGCCCAGCTGGAAGGAGGGGGTTGAGGACGTGGCACAACCAGAACAACCAGAGCCCTGGAAGGGAAGGGCCCAAAGGGGCACAGCAACATCAGCTTCCCCGCCTCCTCCTGCCCCTCTCCCTGCCCCTCCCCCTCCCCAGCCTGGCAGGTGCCACCTGGGAGCCCGAGAGTGATCGGCAGCCCCGGGAGCCCGCTATGCTGGAGCAGTGGGGACGACTCTCACCCCGACCCACACGAAGGTTCGAGACGGGGAGCCATCTAGGGGAAAAGGGTGCGGGGCGGGGGGTGAAGGATGGGGGCCCGGCGCCCCAGCATCCGGGAGAAAGCGCCAGCTCACCTGGAGGGGGCGGACCCAGCGCGCGGTGGCGTCCGGGGAAGACCCCGAGCCTCCCCGCCCCCCCTCCGCAACTCCTCTTCCCCTCCATGACCCCTGCGGGCCCCCGTCTGCCTGCGAGCTGCTGACGATGCCCCCGCCTACGTCCCCTCCACCCCCAGGCCCGCGCTACCCACCCCCCACCCCCCGCCCCTGAGACCTGAGGGGCTTGTTCGCCCTCCGCTCCCCACCTCGAACCTGGGCCCAGGTTCCCTTCCTCGGCGCCACCAATGCCCGATACCTGGCCTTCTTTCATATCCCCCTCCACCGCCGCCCTAAGCGCCAGGAAAGAGCAGCCACCGCCATCTTGGAAAAGGGCTGGGGGTGGGGGGGCGGAGCTCGCCTTCCGGGGACCTGAGGCAGGGTGGGGAGGAGCCGGGGAGGGCAGGGCCTCGGGAGGGGCGGGGCCTGGAGGGAGGGGCGGAGCCTAGGAGACAGGCAGAGGCCGGGGAGGGCGGGGCCAGGAGGCAGTGGCTGAGCTCCGCTGGGTCCCACAAGAGTGGACTCCAGCACTTCCCAGGAAGGGGAATCCAAGAATAAGAATTGCTTTGGAGGGCATCATCCCATGAGAAAACTCAAAAGGATCCTCTCTCGGGAAGGGCAAATTCTCTCCCTGTGGACACCTGGCAGAATTGTAGATTAAGAAGGCACTGGCTTATAAAGGGAGTTGGGAGTAAGCATTTCTTCAGCGCCGATTATGTGCCAGTCACTGGGTGAAGGACCTTAAAAATATCTCATTTGATCCTCACAACCACATTTCGAGAGTAGGTGGTGTTATTAAGCTCATTTGCCAGTTGAGGAAACTGAAGTGAACAGAAGTTTGGCGATGTAAAGCTAATAAGTGAAGCTAGAGTTGAATTTAGGTCTTCCTGACTCTAGCCAGCGCTGTGCCACCCAGCTGTTTGAGACTAGCAGTGCTCAAACTTTTTGGTCTCAGGATTCTTTTGCACTCTTAAAAAGTATTGATGACCCTAAAGGGCTTTTGTTCATGTGTGTGTTATATCTATTGATATTACACGTTAGAAATTAAAATGTCTTAGTATTATGATGAATACTTTTGACGTTTTAGATCTGTGAAAGGGTCCCCAGGGTTCCCCAGATCCAACTTTGAGAACTACTGACTTAGACATAAATAAATAAGACATCATAAAAAAATTAAAGGATATTAAGGAAGAAATTAGCATTCAGATCTAGGGATAGGGTAAGAGTTCATGACCAAACAAGGGATAAAGAGGCTCACAGAAGATCAAACATAATTTAGATTGTATAAAATTTAAAAAGTATTTGCACAAACAAAATCAATGCAACTGAATTTAGAAATATGTTGCCCAGAAGCCAGCTTAACCTGTCTTCTTGTATTGCCATATTTTCCAGAAACACTGGACCCAGAGTATACAAGACATCTTGAACAAGTTAAAGATGAAGCACCCCACTCCCCTTGAGCAGGCATCATTTGTTATTTGCACCCTTAGCTGGACTCTTGGTGTGTCCTTGAAGACCAAACCAGCTACAAGACAGGTACTAGTCAGTGTACATCAGACTGATAAACTGTTTGTGCAGCTGAGACCCTTGTAGATAAGAGATCATTATATCCTCATAGTCTAGTAGATCCCAAGGGAAAAGAATGATACTGTTGCCATCCTCCTTACTCCTGTTCCCCCTCCTTTTCTGCTCCCTTCCACCTTCCATACCATTCCCATTTGGGAGGGAATTGCCCTCTACTCATCCATGAGACTTCCCCTTTCTGTAACTTATAATATTCAAGGTTCTGCCTGGATTGTGAACTCCTTTGTAGGCGTTCCATGTGCATGTTCATTTCTCTTGTAAGAAATCCAGTTGCAACACATGTCTCATGGACTTATGATATATGTATGTATATATATATGTATCTTTGGTTCACAATAGTTGGTGGCAGCAGTGGGATATGATGAGAGAAAGTGATTTAGATGGGCCAGAGGCTTCAGATGCAGGGCTGGGTACCAGCATGAAGCCCTTTGTGTCCCACCTGTCTCTGATTTCTGGCTTGGTAAGGACCACCTCTCCACTCATATCTTGGACTCATGTCTTTTTTGGTTGAGTTCACTATAAAAAGAGAAATTAGATGTCTGAGGCTAAGGGGAGAAAGGTAAGGCACTTTTTTTTTTTTTTGAGAGTATCCCAGCCAAGGCAGATTTTAAATCCAGTCCAGATTCTGGTGTTAGGAAACAGATAACTGGGAAAAATCTTTGTAGTAAATTTCTCTGACAAAGGTCTCATTTCCAAGATATATAAAGAACTTGTTAAAATTTATAAGAATAAGAGCCATTTCCCAATTGATAAATGGTCAAAAGACATGAGCAAGCAGTTTTTGATTATGAGGTTTTTATGTTATTATACATGGTCAATTTTTGGGTAGGTGACATGGACTGCTGAGAAAAAGATATATTCCTTTCTATCTCCATTAAGTTTTCTCCAGAGTCTGTCATATCTAACTTTTCTAAAATCCTGTTCACTTCCTTAACTTCTTTCTTGTTTATTTTGTGATTAGATTTACCTAGTTCTGAGAGGAGGAGGTTGAGGTCCCCCATTAGTATAATTTTACTATCTATTTCCTCCTATAACTCATTTAACTTCTCCTTTAGAAACTTGGATGCTATACCATTCAGTGCATATATGTTTAGTATTGATATTACTTCACTGTCTGTGGTACCTTATAGCAAGATGTAGTTTCCTTCCTTTGTCTCTTTTAATTAGATCTATTTTTGCATTTACTTTGTCTGAGATCATGATTGCTACCTCTGCTTTTTTTACTTCAGCTGAAGCATAATATATTTTGCTCCAGTCTTTTACCTTTACTCTGTGTGTGTGTGTGTCTGCTTCAAATGTGTTTCTTGTAAACAACATATTGTAGGATTTTGGTTTTTAATCTACTCTGTTATCCACTTTCATTTTATGGGAGAGTTCATCCCATTTACATCCACATTATGATTACTGTGTATTTCTCTCCATCCTATTTTCCCCCTGTTTATACTATCTCTCTCTCTCCTTTCACCCTGTCCCTCCTTACTAGTGTTTTTGCTTCTGACCGCCACCTCCCTCAATCTGCCCTCTCTTCTATCAGCCCTTTTCCCCTGTTCCTTTCCCCTTCCCCTCCTACTTCCCTATAGGGTAAGAAAAATTTCTATACCCAATTGAGTGTGTATGTTATTCCTTCTTTGAGCCAAATCTGATGAGAGCAAGTTTCAAACAATGCTCTCCCCCTCCCTTTCTCTGCTGTAATAGGTCTTTCACACCTCTTCATGTGATGTAATTTACCCCATTCTGCTTCCCCCTTTCCTCTTCTCCCAATACAATCCTTTTTTCCACCCCTTAAATTTTTTTATGTCATCATATCAAAGTCAACTTATACCCACATCCTTTGTCTGTGTGTATTCCTTCTAACTGCCCTAATAGAGACACATTTCTTAAGAGTTACAATATTATCTTTCTATGTAAGATATAAACAGTTTAACCTTATTGAATAGCATGGTTTTTTTCTTTCCTTTTGACCTTTTTATGCTTCCCTTGAGTCTTGTGTTTAAAGATCAAATTTTCTGTTCAGCTCTGGTCTTTTCATCAGGAAAGTTTAAAAGTACCCTATTTCACTGAACATCCATTTCCCCTTCCAAGCAGGGATTTTTGTTTTCTTTTAAAAAAAAAAATGCTTTATTGGGGCAGCTAGGTGGCGCAGTGGATAGAGCACCAGCCCTGGATTCAAGAGGACCTGAATTCAAATCCGGCCTCAGACACATAACACTTACTAGCTATGTGACCCTGGGCAAGTCACTTAACCCCATTGCCTAGCCAAAAAAAATTTTTTATTAATTTATTTTGATTTATCAACAATCACTTCCATAAGCTTTTGAGTTTTAAATTTTTTCCCCCTCCCTCCCCTTTCCCTCTTCAAGATGGAGCACAATCTGATAGAGGTTATACATATACATTCCTATTAAACATATTTTCACATTAGTCATGTTGTAAGGAAGAATTAGAACCAATAGGAGGAACCACAAGAAAGAGGAAACAAAATAAAACAGAAGAAAAAAATAGCAAATAGTATGTTTTGATCTGCATTCAAACTCTGTAGTTCCTTCTTTGGATGTGGATAGCATTTTTCCATCATGAGACTTTTGGAGATGTCTTAGATTCTTGCATTGCTGAGAAGTGCTAAGTCTATCAAAGTTAGTCATCACACAACATATCTGTTACTGTATACAGTGTTCTCCTGGTTCTGCTCACTTCACTCAGCATCAGTCCATACAAGTCTTTCCAGGTTTTTCTGAAGCCCTAAACAGGCAGTTTTTAAAGGATGAAATCCAAGCTATCAAAAGCCATATTAAAAAAAATGCTCCAAATAACTAATAAGTAGAGAATAGTAAATTAAAACAACTCTGAAGTTCTACCTCTTACCTAACAGGTTGACAAAAGTGATAAAAAATAAAGACAAATGTTTGAGGAAAATCATACACAGTATTGCACTGTTGGTGGAGCTAGGAATTGGTCTAGCCAGTATGGAAAACAATTTCTAACTGAGTCCAAAAAGTTACTAAACTTTGACCTGGCATACTACTACTAGGCCTATACCCCAAATAGATCAAAAAAAGGAGGAAAGGACCCATATGTACAAAAAATATTTACAGCAGCTGTTTTTGTGGTGGCAAACAACTGGAAACTAAGCTGTTACTTGTTAATTGGGGAATAGCTGAAGAAATTGTAGCATATGCGTAAAATGGAATATTATTATGCTATAAGAAATTTTGTTATTCAGTTGTTTTTCAGTCATGTCTGACTCTTCATGAGCCCATTTGGGGTCTTGGCAAAGATACTGGAATGATTTTCCATTTACTTCTCCAGCTCATTTTGTTGTTTTCTAGTCATTCAGTTGTGTTGAACTCTTCATGACCTCATGGACCATAACACACCAGGCCAGGGGTGGGGAGCTTATGGCCTTGAGGCCACACGTGGCCCTCTAGGTCCTCACGTGCGGCCCTTTGACTGAATCCAAACTTCACAGAACAAATCCCCTTGTAAAAGGATTTGTTCTGTTCAACTTGGACTCAGTCCAAAGGCTGCACCCCAGGACCTAGAAGGCCACATGTGGCCTCAAGGCTACAGGTTCTCCACCCCTGCACCAGGCCCTTCTATCCTCCATTAACTCTCATGTTCGTTGTTTTCATGATACTATCTATCCATCTCATCCTTACCTGTCCCCTTCTCCTTCTGCCTTCAATCTTTCCCAACATCAGGGTCTTTTCCAACAAGTCTTGTCTTCTCATTATGTGGCCAAAGTATTTAAGCTTCAGTTTCAGTATCTGACTTTCCAGTGAATAACCTGAATTAATTTCATTAAGTATTGACGGATTTGATCTCCTTGATACCCAAGGGGCTCTCAAAAGTCTCCTCCTGCATTCAGTTTTCCTTATAGTCCAACTCTCATAGCCATACAGGTTATGGTTGTGTTGTGTTCTGGTTGCTGCATTATAAGGGAAGCTGAGCACTGCAGAATCGTGGTGCTGGAGGAGGAGGAGAGGGGAGCTGGACCTAGCTAGCTGTGTCGCCGTTCAGGCAGTTCAGACTATTCACAGGTGGTGGTTTGTCCTTCCTTCTTGAAGAGGATCACAACTTTAGGGAGATAGTGAGATCCTCTCCCCTCCCCTCCCTTGCCATCCCCTCCTTCCCCCCACCCCAGAATGGATTGGACAACAATAAGTCCCTGCCCAACCTCCACTTAATGGCTATTTTTTGGGTCTTCCAGGCTCAGAGAGAATGTAAATAGTAACTGTTTCTCTTTTGGCCAGCAACCCCGAGGGGTTCTTCCCCTCCCAGTTTGATTTTTTTTTAAAGTCTATTTATTAAATTTAATGATCCCTGGACTCACTTCTTAAAGAGGCCTATTCACTGAATGGGTGTTGCTTCACTCAAAATGAGAACCTAGATAGAACTTAGCTTAACAGGGCCAAGGTCTCCCACTGCATCCTGGGCAGTGTCCAGTCATCCTGATCCATATCTGGCCACTGGACCCAGATGGCTCTGGAGGAGAAAGTGAGGCTGGTGACTTTGCATAGTCTTCCCTCACTCAAATCAAAGTCAGTTGCAAGTCATGTCATCATCTCCCTGATGTCATGGTCCTCATAGCTTTGTCTGTACAGATTTTTGTTGGCAAGGTGATGTCTCTACTTTTTAGTGTGCTGTCCAGATTTGCCATAGCTTTTTTTCCAAGGAGCAAGCATCCTTTAATTTCATAGCTCCAGTTGCCGTGTACAAAGATCTTTGAACCCAAGAATATAAAATCTGACACTGCTTCCATTTCTTCTTCCTCTATTTGCCAGGAAATGATGGGACCAGTTGCCAAGATCTTTTTTTCCTTTAATGTTACGCTTCATGCCAGCTTTTACTCTCTCCTCTTTCACCTTCATCAAGAGGCTTATTTCCTCCTCAGTTTCTGCCATCAGTGTTATATCTGAGATTGTTGATATTTCTCCTGGCAACCTTAATTCCAG